TGGCGTAGGACAGGTTCTAATTGTTGGAACCATTAGTTGTAATTTGCAAGGATACAGATTAACTTATTAGACGGAATACATCTGCATCTGATGCATCCTCAATGAACTATTCACATTGAATGTCTCGTGTTAATGTGGTCAGCATTGCTTTCACTCAATGGATCAAAACAGCTTTAAACTTTGTTATCATAGTGGGAATACTCAAAATTTCGTGGTAGAAATATTCACAATTTTGTTTTGGTGTGGTTATTGTTTGTTGCCAATTGATCTTTTGTTTTACGGCATTTGTGATGCTTCTTGTGACGGATTCTGATGATTTCGTTTTATATTCATTTCAATTTTGACCAGAGACCGGAGCAAGCGGCCATCCCTGCAGTGAAATCTACCATGGACGTGCTGCGATGTCCGAACGTGAAGTTCAAAGTGTTGCTAACTTCCTTCAGTCCCAAGGACACCGACTGGTAGGGTATCTCGATATTCATTCCTACAGCCAAATTTTGATGTTTCCGTGGGGATATACAAAGAGACGGAACAAGGACTACGAAGAGCTGGTACATTACAAGATTAGACTATTTATATATTCGAACAAATTTGCTTAGAGCTATATGCAATGCTGATACGAATGTCCGCAAAGTGGGAAAACAGATAGGGTAAAAACGTTGAAACTCTTGCGCAAGCCCACTGTTAGATACAATAGTCAAAGGTTGAATCTGTTGTATGCAATGTCGCAGGTAGACGAAAAAGCTTTGAAATGTTGTGTTCAATGTTTCAAGGAGTAAAACAAAAGTTAAAAATGTTGAGCGCAATGTTACAGATAGTACACAAACGTTTTTTGCACAATGTTATAGATAGTTGAGAAACGTTTAGTTTGTTGTGCGCAATGTTACACATAGTTGGCAAACGTTGAGATTGTTGCACGCAATACTGCTGATAGTGGACAAACTTGGAAACTTTTTTTTTGGAATTTGTTCTGCGCAATGTTACAAATAGCGTAAAAACGTTGAAATTATTGTGGGTAATGTTGCAGATAGCAGACAAACGTTGAAACTGTTGCGCTTAATGTTGTAGGAAGCGGACAAATGCTGAAAATGTTAGGCATGTTTCTAAAACTGAGCGCTTAGGAAAAAGAACTCCTATTTTTATGTACCGTCTGATTTTTTAAAATCTATATGCTCACAATTTTACCTCCACATAAAACTCTTTTTAGGCAGGCTAGCTACTGTGAATTACTTGGCTTAAAAGATATCCGGCAAGTTTTTGTTTGGGTTTACTCTGTACGAAAATACTAATTCCTGTTTCAGATGCGGGTTGGTCAGGCTGCAGTGGATGCGATCAAAACTCGCGGAGGTGACAACACCAGTTACACTTTAGGACAAGCATCCGATATCATGTGTACGTATATAGTCTGATGGAGTTTACACTTTGGCTCAGTTTGCAAGCATGTCGTCATGTTCTAACTTTTTA